TCATGAAACCTGCAAGCCTGTGAACAAATAAAAAGGTTGTAAAGCCTATTTAAACTGGTGTAACGATTTTCCAACGAAAAAGGAAAGAAAAGCTAAAAGTGTTAAAAAATGGAAACATTAAATTATGGTGAAAGATCTCGGAGTTTGAAACTCGTATCCTTGTCTAACCAAAAGTAGCAATCACTAAGCTTACAACTTTTTCCTTTGAATATTTTTCCCTCCCAGCTTAACGCTATTTACCGTTGATGTAATAAGCAGAACAAGATGTCAAAGGTTAAAGTTAATGTTAGTCAAGTTATCAAGTTGCCTTTTGACAGCAAACAAAACGTAGTGTTGTGAGAATTGAGAATGCAAAAAAAAGTAAAGAAAAAATTCTGTCATTTTTGTTGCAACTTATTTCTTTTCTTTTTACCGGGAAAGATTAATGGATGTGAATAATCATGATAATGCTAACATTATAAATGATAATAGTAAATATCTTGTGACTGATTCGATAATGTTGACATTCGATTAATGGTGATCAAATGAAGAGTCTCTTCTCTATTTACAAAACGATAAAGTCTTTTGTTTTGCCAATTCGCTTTTCTTTTCCTTCATCATCAGTCGATTATCTAATTTCATCTGAAAGAAAAGGTCAATTATTCAGTTGAGTAAAAAAGGGGTTTTCATTGCTACTTGTGTTGCCATTAAATGGCAGGTCACTTCGTATACAACGATTAGTTACTCGTACAGCTTTTATCAATAAAATGTAACACCAAGTAAATTGCTTTTACTCTTCATTCCCTGGGATCCCTCGAGTCTCTATTAATACATGAGCTTTTTGTTTGGAGTGGGCAACAATATTACAGTGAATGAACACACTGGGAGTAAAAGTCAAGGTATGAAAAAAAAAGATGTTGACTATCGAAGCAACAGAGTATAAAAGATGAGCAAACAAGCGAAATGGATGGACAGGGAGGGAGAAAATGAAATTATGGTTATGCTTTTTGCGTCATTTTTTCGTTTGCTTTTTATTCTTCTTTTCGTTGGACTGACTTCATGGAAATTGTTCTTTTCAGATGTTTTCTTTCATTCACTTTTCTCTCTTTTGTTGCCTGTTTTATTGTATTTTTGTATCACATTTTATCACAATGTTACTTTTGGATTATGCTAAAGGCTCAGTCTTTTAGACTTTATTCTTACTTTCATTTTCCATTTGCAAATTATGGTGAAATCAACTTGGAATTTTGTCATTTTAGCTTTTCATCAATTCTTTTGAGAGAAAAGAAAATGAAAATTATAATATTAATAAGAATGGGTGAAATAATAAAAATGTTAATAGTAATGATGATAAATATGTATGCACTCAACGAGGTGTGAAAAAATGGCTGAAACAAAAGATGAAATTGTACTTTTGAAGCAAATTCATCAGCACACTTTTGTCCTTGCCAGAGGTTCATTATGAGTTTAGATTTGGATAAGTTTCAACCGATTTATAATACAATTAAACTTGCATCTACTTTTGAAAACCTTTCAAGCGTAAACTTTATTTGCTCACTTTTCATGTCAAATTAGTTCTTTTGCTCAATCAAATTTTCAATGAACAAATTTCATTCATTGTGATCTCCACAATAAAAGTGTTGAAACTGGTTGATATTTCAGTTCTCTTCTCTTTTTATTCTAAAAAATTCCAACATTTCAATGTAAAAGATTGTAATTGGGATGAGTTTTTAAGAAATGGAGGAAAACAATTCCACGTTATGCGACTAGATGGCCAAATTCCTTAACTCTGGCAAAGGATGCAATCACAAACGTGGACGTGCCGTGGGAGCAACAACGTGATAGTAAGCTATTCAGGTCTTTGATGGCCGAAGAAGCCTACCTTATATATCGATGCCAATATTGCGGACAAGGTCTCTAGGATCACCTATTTGGAACTCAGCATTAACAGTTTTACTGCAGATTTCCTGGATGCCCAGCGCACAATTGAAAAGTTGACGATTGCAATGGCAATAAAAAGAGGAAATCCATGCACGGGCAAAGGAGTTTATGTACCCACTCCAGATAGAAGTCACAATAATCTCTCTTGAAACCATTCTGCAAGTTTTCTTTGAAAAGCTTCTGATAGAGAACTTCAATGTGATTTGACATGATTGGTTACAGATATCTTGATCTTGGACACACCAGTAGACGAAGAACCTGGACATCTGTTGGAACAACTTTGATGAATTTCTTCTTTGTTTCGATGTTCACAGAGGTTATTCTGTAGAAGTTATCAAATAATATTATTTTTGTTGCCTGTTGTTGTTAATCGGAAATTGAAATTGATTCTAATAATTTTCCAACAAAACCCCTTCCGCAGATGATGAAAGATGCTCTTTCAAGATATTATGTTGCTAAAATTGTTAAATAATTCCTTCCTACTTAGTTGGATTACTTATTGAGTGACCTTACATTGATTGGTAAACTCAACTTGAACGGATCAAGACTTGAGTTGATTCGAAGTACAATCGCCGCTAAGATTTTAAAGAAGAGTATGAGCAGAGAAAACTTCAAATCTGGCATTTTCTCGAAAATGCTGGACCTAATAAAGATTAACAGTGTAAACATGAATTTGTTTCCATCGTAAAATGAATTGAAATCTCTTGTGAATTGAGAAACTCGACAATGAAAGATAACTCATTTGAGAATCAAAACACTTTTCTGAATGTGCAAAACTCTTTCTGCAACTGAATGTGCAGACTTTCCATATTTACTGTTGAAAGGTTTTCCTTGAATTCCCTATGAGAAACACAAAAAGAGAAAAAAGAGGAATTTTCAGAGAAATAATACAATCGTAAATGGTAAACGACTTCGAAACTTACTTCGAAGTAAGATTGATGTTTATGCTCTTTAATCAATCATATTTTACTTCAAATCTCTGCCCATTCTAATTCAATAGCAACCTTACCCATGTTAAGATATTGAAATTAATTGAAAAAATGAAGAATCACATTCTAAGTCTATCGCGCTATTTCGATGATAAAATTCATTTTTCAGCACAAATCTTTAAAAAATTATTCGAAACATTTTGAAACGAAAGAAAACTTATATTGATTGTTTTCTGATCAACACTGAAAAGGCTTCGTCTCGATTCTTTCTACTAAAAAGTTTTCCCAATGATTTTGACATTTTCTTCAACTTGGCTGACGAGCATTCAATCAAAACGTTGACCATTTTGACAGGTTGAGACTCTTGGTTTGATTAGCCGAGAGTTCATTATTTTGAGTTCACAATTGTTTAGCAATCAATTCAATGCTCAATACTGTCAACCAAATGTTTTCTCAGTGTTCATCTTCGAAAAGTCTCATCATTCGAGATTTACCTGGGATTAATGTAAAGAATCTTTCAAGAGTTACTCGAAAAGATAATTAGTTTTCATGGATGGACAAGGTCAATGAGCACTTTTACTCAAAAAGAACAATGCAATCTTGAACTATTTCTCGAACTTGTAATTTCTTCTACCTCAAATTCAGAATTGTTGAGTTTTCAAAGATTGCTTCTAATGACTCTTTAGTTGATGTTTGAAGTGTTTACCATTTTCATTCTTGTTCAATCCTTTTCTTGGCTTTAACTATTCTTACATATATTTGAATAAAAAGATTTACAGTATTTATTTAGCAGCACCTAATGTAAATTCAAACTCTATCAGATTAGAGCATTCGATGATCAAAAATTTAGTTTCAATATCTATTCATTTCAGTACAGATGCATTCAGTATGTTTAATCATAATAACTTGCCTTTTGCATAATTCAATGGATTATCATAAAAAGGCTCGACTGATGAAACATTCATTGCAATGTCGTGAGGCTAAAAAAGGCAACCTTTTGCTTCATCTTACGTCTGGTCAAACTTTGAACTTTTCCCTTCTTTTGATAAATCTCTATCGACGAGTTAATATTGACATTCAAATAATTCAATGACATCTTTTCTTGACACTATCAAAATGCAAAGAAAAAAATATTAACATGAAAATTTCGTTAACCATTCATGTTGACTTTCATCGAGACTAAATAAATCTCGAAAAAGTTTATATGGAAAAAAGTTAAGCATCAAACTTCATTCAACTCCAATCAACTAGTTAAAAATTCATAAACTCAAAAATCGAAATAAATGAACAAAATGAATTCATTTTCAATGGAAAACAAGACAATGTATTCATTGACTCAGAAACTTCATGAGATTAAAATAATCAACTTTTTTGCATAATTCTTGGTCAGTCTGAGCTTTCAATATAATTTAATATTCATGGAAAAATGATGAATGAAATGGATCAATGTTGAGCTGATTAGCATTCTCAGCTCATGCAAATGATAATAAAATTTCAAGTCGACAAAGTGTATTGTATTAGATGAAAGAGTTTGAGAAACGTTGGAAAAATTGTCAATCATGAACGTATGTTTTAACAATACTGTCGACTCTTGACCAACAATTAGTTAAAGTCATGAAACATGAAACATCGATTCAATGGATAACACTTTATTGATAAAGATTGACACAATCATGAAGCATCTTTTATGGGAAAATATCAAGTTGACCAAACTTGACATTACAGGGATTGACTGGGACTGATGAGTTTCATTGCAGTTTTAACACATTGACTGATCGATGGATAATTCAAGGATTTTTTGCAATCAATTTGATTGATTAAAACCTTGTAATCAATCAATTGTTTTAGTCTGAAATTCACTAAAATGATTAAAATTTCAGACTTTTTGCAGCCAGCACTGTGTGTTAAATGAAATTTTTGCCATTGAGCCATGTCATGTCACCTTGTAAAAAAGTTGATCTAATTGAAAATTCGTTTTTCTCCTTTCCTTTCATCTTCAATCGACTTTTTTATCATTCAAATTGGATCCTGTTAATACCATGTTGACGTAAACATTGTTACACTGGAAATCTGTTTTCATTGTTTATTTCATTTGTACTCAATGACTCATGGAATGAACAAAAAATTCAATCTTTCTCTTGAAACTCAAAGAAATTCAATTTTTTGTAAAATCTTGCCTCTGGGACTTCCTTTTGATATAACTGAACGTGGAAAGGATGGTAAACTCTATCAGATTCACATCAAAACTCAATCGGCAGATACAGTTTTGTACATTTCGGTAAGTAAACTAAAGTTTCAATATTTCTCTCAATGCTGTATGAAAGATGAACTTGATACTCTCAATGCTTAAAAATGATTAACAGTCAACATGATTAAATTGCAAACTTGAGGAAACATCACAACAACCAATTGAACCAATTGAATTTACAGAGTGAAATCATGAGCAAGTTTCACTCCAGTTTGCCCAGAAGAAGAAACTTTTTCACTGTTACTCCAATGTTGAGTATGATATTATTAGACTGTTATCTTGAATAAGTTTTACTCCAAGTACATTATCATTGTAAACAGTTGACTGATTCGGACTATTGTTTATTAGCCAAAATTATTGACTGGGAATCATCAAAGTATTACAATTGGAATAACTCGATAAAGTAAATGCTTTGCTCTCCTTTTGCTGTTTACATCACAATAAACTGTAGTAATACTTTGAGATTAATTTGAGCAAATAGTGACATTTGTATGCAGCTGAGCTATCATGAAATCTCAGATTTCCTTTTAATAATGCTAATAAAGATAATGATAATGATGGTAATAATAATGTTGCTTCTCAAGGGAATGATTTGGAAAATGTTTTTTATTATATTTTTATAACATTAGAATGTTAAATAGATTATCTCACTTTTTTTCCTCTTTGATTCTGAAAATGAAAATTCCATTTGGGATTTGAACGCATTTACCTTGAACGTTTCCCGTTTCCACCGAGAGAATCATATTATTTGGTATTACGGCTTATATTTGTGTTAACCCATTATTCACAATTACATGTAATTTGTTTCTCATATTAAATTATTTTCGGTATCAATTTACTCTCAATTGTGCGTTTCAATTTTCTTCATCTTTTTTTCTGTTCCACTTTTGTTTCTTTTCCAATGCTAAATCTATCATCTTTCTGATCAATGTTTAGGCTTGAATAGACCAGAATATGATCAGATGAATGTTTTATCAAGAGTAAAAGATTCACAGGGTAAATGGATTGCATTGACTTGTATAGTATGACTTGATTTCATAGTCACGAGTTTCACTATAGACATCTATTGGCTTAGTTTCGCATTATTTTTCATCGTGCTTTGATAAAAATTTTCAATGAAAGTTTCTAGCCAAAGTTAGGTTTTAAAATAAAAGTTGATGCTTTCATGAAAGTTGGCCAAGATTTTATACATTTATTTTAGCCTTTGATAAAATGACCAGTAATTTTATAAGGGATTGTTAAATATTTGTCTCAATTCATTTTACACTTTGTAATTTACGCCTTGTCCCTCAAGCTTTCCCTCATTTTTCATTTTTCATTTTCCTTTTTTATCATAAACAATAATAAACTTTCATGTGTAAAGTAGTGTCTTGACAATCAAAAAAATTGTTCATTGAAATTGATGAGTCTCTAATAGATGTGCTAAAATTTTTAAGTGCATTGTGTTCCTCAAAGATATAAATAAATAAATGGATATATTTATACTGACAACTACGCCTGATTAGATAATTTTAGACTTATTAAAAATGATTTTAAGGAAAATGCCCAAAATTCAAACCCAAATATCTTAGGAACCACTGCATTTCCAGAAAAAGTATCATAACTCAACATGCTCTATCCAATGATACATCTCTCATTCAAATCCGTGTTAGCCATGTCGTGCACTTCCCTTGTGAGTCACACCAGTTTCGTTGCTTTAAATCTCATTCCTTTGGTGGTTTGTTGGTAAAAGTGGCAAGCTAGTGATTCAGTGGTCAGTAGATCGTTACTCTATCTGACCCGTCTTATAATACGGACCAAGGAGTCTAACATGAATGCAAGCTGATCAGTCTTATTTAGGCTTGAAAGGCGAATTGAAAGAAATTGTTATGATGTATGCTTGAAAAAGTATACCGCAATATAAGCCCGTGATAGTAATAATCCTTTACCTAGATTTTTGTGAAGCACTAGATATATGTTAGTAATATATAGTAGTTAGTAGAGTACTCGAAGTTCGAAATGTTTTCCTGAAAAAATATCGATCGTTTCGAAACTAAAGTTAAAAAATTGATGCAACCATTTGTTACTTATGAAACCCTATTTCTTATGACAAACTCAACTGGCTAATAATTTTAAACAACTGGTACACGTTAAAATACATGTACTCTTCATTTCATTTTACGGTCAATTCTAGCTAACTATTCTTTAATTGATATCTTATATCAACTTGCATTCCCTTGAAATCATCATGAAATCAAATTCTCTACACTCTTGTTACCAAGATTAATCAATTTCATCCGTGTGAAAAGGAATTCCCAGTGAGAAATAAAAATCGGAAAGCAAGAATAGAAATAAAGATTCTTTAGTTAGATGAACCATCTTTCATTCAAGCTTAATATTATTGTTTGACTTGCTCTAAATATTATTCCCTGTTTCTAGATAGCTGTAAGCTAAGTAAAGAAATTAAATTACGACAAACAGAAGAAGCACTATATTAATTATCTGCTTTTTCTTACAAACCATTTATTGATGACTTTCGAATCAAAAGCCATTCTGTAACGATAAAGCAAATGTAATTTTGCATCGCAATAAATATTACTTTATTAATCAGTGCTAAGAAAGGAGAAACTATTCACGAACCAAGTTCATGTTTATTCAACAAAGAAAAACATGGAATCTAAAATCAACTCCAAGTGGTTCGATAAACAGCTACAGGGAATGAATAATGCTATTCCACTGGAATAATCTCAAGAAAGTTTTCCTTCAAAACACATCAGTAACCATTAATCCTTTAATAAATTTACAGTCCAATAATCTGAGTAAATCATTCGTATGCCATTGATATTCAAATTGTGGTGAAGTCAAGGTTTACTTGACTCTACAATTTGTTTCTTGATAAGTGCGAAAAAAATGAGAGACGAAAACATCTGAACATTCATTAAATTTTTCTTGCAATTGTCAATTGTTTTATTTTCTTGGAAAAAGGTAAACACTAAATTCAATCTTGCTTTGTATCCATGTTAGCTCCAAGGCAAGGTATAAGATTAGTTTAAGCAAACACATTCAAGTCAGTTTAGAGTAAACATTTGAAAAGGAATGTAAGCAAAAGAAAAAGTTAAGAATGTTTTGATTCAAACAAGAAAGATGAACGATAAAGATGGAGTTGAATTGTACAGAAAAGGAAATGAAACAAAGCGTAGTCTTGATTCAGGGGAATACAAGAAAATAGAGAAAAAAGCCACGAAAAAGTTATTATATCGGTCACTTTTACTCATCATTGACTAGATAAATATCATCATTCTGATAAAAGGCATTATATTTGCTCTTGGAATATCAATTTCTTTTATATCATGAGATTAGCTCATTCACTGCACAATTTTTTGTAACATTTCAACTCTTTGAGGTAAACATTGATTTTCTGAGTTGAAAGTGTTTGATTAATATTTAGATTTATATTCATCAATCAAATTGTATGACGAAGAAGAGCGTAACTTGATTATTCTCGCACTAACTTTTCAAATATCAAGAGAGATGAAAGGTATGTTTGTGAGAAATGAAAAAAACAAATTCGAGTTAAACTTTTTTAGGCCCGATTATAACTTAAGTCTTTGTAGTAACCAATTTTATTGTTTCAATAACGATAATTATCCTGACGCTTTTTATATGAAATTAATATTATTCCGAGTCAATTTTTATTTTGAACAAAAACTAATTGATTTAAACCTGCTTTTTGACTACTTACAGGCTGTCGTTGCTGTTTACGTTCTGGTTGTAATTGTTTTACTGGCAACCCAATTTTTGGAGCGAGGAGGAAATCGTCAAAGTCGATTATCGATTCCGTTCAAGAAAAATACCTTTCTTCTTTGGGACTCGTCTGATGGAGCAAATTGTTCGTTAGAGTCTATGGATGATGACAGCATTGTTGTCTGACTGTTATCTGTGTTTAGTTTTGCATATACATTCATGTAAACTGTTGGCATATCATTTTACAGTTTGAAGAAAGCTGAAAAAAATGTGGAAATTTGAATAAAATTATTGTAAAAAATGAATGGACAAGGAAAGGAAACGAAAAATTTGTGAATATTGCAATGGGAAATGGTATTTATGCCATTTGGACAAGTTGATTCTCATGAAGGTGCACTAAGCTTAAATATATCACATATTTTGATTAGAAAAGCTTTTTGATTTATCCGTTACAGCCCTCGTTTTATTATCAAATCTATGATTAACTTAATCAATTGCTGATTACAAACTGTTAACCCATACATTTTGAGCCGAAATATCTAATTTAGATAATAAAACCAATAGCTGATTACCTGCGCAATTGATTTAAAAAGTGGATTCAACTTTCAATTCACGGCTGTATTTTGAGTTGAGTTCATATTATTATATTAAGTGGTTCATAAATTGGTATATCTATCCTTTAGTGCACCTTTTGAAATATTGCCTATGAGTTGGGAATTCAATCAAATTGTCCGAGAGCTTAAAGTCATTCGAGATGAAAATGAGACCGTCAACAACTAATTTACTGTATTTCTGCTAATGGGCTCAAAGGATTCTTCCCGCAATTAAAATATTATTTAATGTTTAACTGTTGTTTCATTTTTTATTGCTAGAAAAAGTCATTCTAACTTACCGTTAATCCGACTGGCGAACTTTTAGTAAAGTTATCATCGGAATTTCAGCGAGTTAGGCATGATGTCTTGGATAGGAAAATTATACATAAAGGGTGAACTGTGGGTAAAGTCTCATAAAGTTTTGACATTTCAGCAAGGTAGGATGTCCTAGAGAGACAGATAATAGTGCATATTAATCTCGAAACTTTGCTCTTAAATTTGGTATTATCCATCGTAAATTTCGACATACATTTTCTTAAATGGATTTAACATTCAAACATTAATTGTTTAAATTGAGAAAGAGAAATGGTCAAAATTATTCTCCTCTTTCTTTATTCTATTTCCCTGTCTTGACAAATCTATTTCTTATTCTCAACAATGGTCAGAAGGGCAAAACTAACTCGTTGTTTTAGCTAAAGGATTATTGAGGGGATTTGAATTTATGACTCCAATGTGGTAATATGAAATGACTGGAAATGTTGCTTCTCGTCCATTGGACGTAATACTTATTTAATTTTTAGTTTAACTAAATTTTAGTTAATTCAATGGGATATTGTCTAATGATTATTAATAAATGTTATCAAATGGCCTCAAAATCTTACATGGACTTTGAATGATCTCTTTTAAAAATAGTTTGCTAAACCCATGTTAGAAAAAGAGAAATTGAGATACGACAAAATTACAACTCACGCAACCTATTTCGCCGCTAGCAAGATTGAAAGCTTTTGACTCACTAGGACACAAAACCGTTTTTTTCATTTAACGCATGTTTGCAAGCATAACCAGCCCCAGTATAAGCAAGGTTGGTGTTATAGACCTCATACTTGAACTATGAGCTTTCGCAAATTGAAAAACCATAAATTTGAACGCTCAAGTTCATTCAAGGTAAATCCGCTATTTGACTTCAAATTGACTTTTGGCGGGCATTTCTCCGAGTGAAAGATTTTGCGAACCCTGAGGAGGCTCAGCTCGCCTGAGATTCGACTATTTTTGCAAAAAATAAAACTGTGCGAGTGACTGAAACCCATTTAAAAACCTTAAAAGTAATCTCAATCTTTTTTGAATTGGTCAGTGTATGTAACTCAAGATGCTTGTACGAAAATTTTTATTCAACGTGCGTATTCACATTCTACAGTGAAATATTGGATGAAAAGGATCAAAAATAGTAATGTTGATGTCTCAGCACCGAGGGGGCTCATCGCAAGATAATTTTCTGGAGCAACAAGGAATTGATTTAATCAATGAAAAAATCGCGGAATACAGACAGAATATTTTTTAAGTTTAAGAGTAGCATATTGTTTCAAAATTTGATGTAATTAGCTTAAGAAAAGTTATTAGTTTTGTTTTCTATCGCACTTTTTATTGCTCTTTTGTTGTATCTCAAAATCTTCAGTTTACCTTCATATGAACTTTTGTATTTGTTTCGCATTGCCATCGACCAAAGTCAGGAATCAAACCTTCCATTTTTCATTCGCCGATTTCAGTTTCTTCCAGTTTGCTCATGCAACTCTTCAATTCTTATTCGAATAAATCTCTGAAAGTTCAATTTATCAGCGTTTGTTTTTAGATTGAATTAAAATGGATACATGTTGTTTGCTTTTAAATGAAAAAAGTGCAACAGTGAACTCAATAGTGATAATTTATTCATAAATTATTTAACACTTCTCTTTTTTACGGCTATGAAGTAGCGTAATCGCGTAACAAAGGCAGCAACTGCTGTTCTCATCTCGTCAGAAATCGATCTGAAGTTGGTTTCAATGCCTTCTACTAGTTCTTGATGGTCACTGTCGGTTTGCATACACTCTAACCTTCAAATAGCCCCTAACAAAGAAATCCATAACATTCAGATCAGGAATGTAGGGTAAAAATGTAAAAATGGAATCGAAGCGACTAGACTTTTCATTGAATCCTATTGAGAGCTATCTCTTCTTCATTTCTCTTTGATGATGATCATGATCTGATTGGGAAGAAAAAAAATGATGAAAATTGGGTTCAAAGTTTGCATTGCTTGCGTTTAACCATTAATGAAAATATTTTTTGATACTTAAAGGTTGTTGTTGAACAAAACAATTGAAAAGTTAAAAACTTAATGTTTATTAAATGAAAGGTAAACTTAAACTACAATTCTATTCAATTTGCTCTCTGTATTTATACTAAAAGAGTTGAAATTGATCTCTAAGTCGTTCCAGTCAATATAACAAGCAAAGGAACGAAATACCGCAAGTATCAATGGCTTAATTAAGGCTTTTTAGTGTTAGGTAAAAGTTTGTTTTAGAGGTTAAATGGAGGGTAACAAGTTAAAGGTATCAAATACAACAGTTAGATTAAGTTGGTGGAAGGTAAAGACGTGAGGTCGGTGAGATTGGAGTGGCATGAAGGGTGAAGAAGATCAAGAAAACGAACGTGAGATCGGTGGAAGAGGGAATAGGTGATGCGGAAAAGAGTTGGCTTTTACAGTTGTATTGTTAGTTAATGATTTCAAATCACTGGGTAGGTTCTGACTAACAATACATATAATGCTAAATTTCCATCATATGATTTATACCTATTGCAATATCAAAAAAACAAAATGGCCAAGTTTGATGTAATGGTCCTAATAGAAGAGCACTTACCATACCATAACTTAACACCATAACGATCAGAGGAGACAATTTTTATTATCAATGTCTACATAAATAATATTAATAATAAGGGGTGATAACCAAAAAATAGCACAAACTTCATTCAAATATTTTGAGCTCAATTCTGAATCGAATGTTTTGCTTTTAATGGTCCATGCTAAGCAGCTTTTCTGACTCGCTTTCAATTGATCATAGTTGTCAGCTTTTTATCCATTTGCATAATTTTTTATGGCTCCAAAAACGTTCAATCGGTCTGAGTTTGGCGGAATCCTATTTTTTCCATGAAATTGATTTGTAATGCAGATAGAGTTGCAAAAGTATTTTTTGCATAATGTGCTGAAGCTCTATCAGGCCAGAATAAGTATTCATTATCTGAATGATATTTTGCAGTAATGGTTTGAGTCTCTTTTAAAGGTATTCATGAGCATACAGGGCTATCCAGCTATCTTTACCGATGTCAAACGACTATATATTGTCCCCTTTGACATTTTCAGTTTAAAAATAGGGCCCAATCCTTCCTTCTGTCCAGACTCCACACCACACCCTAACTTTACCAGCGCCTAGCGCATTTTCTTCGAAAGTCTTATTTGGATTAAATTTGCTAAAGAAGGGCTAAATGTGCAGGAATAAAGTAGATGGCGCTGTGCAGTTTTTCACTAATTGCGATCCAAACGCGAATTTCTACCTTGCATACAATTTGATTGCTTCAGGGACATTTCCTTTTGGAAGCTAGATCGGTAAATCGAATGAATTTTATTTCAATTCCATCAGTATAGTTTATAAAGTAAAGGATTACAATCTTCACGAAAGATAAAAGAGAATTAATATCAAAGAAGATGAGAATATTTGGATACAAAGATAGCTTAAGGATCACTCAGGAGGATGCATCTCTTAGATTAACACTGAAAGTTTTGTTGCTGAATACAGTTTCATTAAATTCAGGTCACAATCACTTGAATAG